AGAGAGAGAGAGGAAGAACAATAGATACGATGGTTCCTTTATAATTAGTCACTGCCGCTACGGCGGCGGCGGCACCCGACAGTCGGCGAACGAATGGAGAGAGGAAGAATGAAACCAAAAGCGCAAAGTGCAAAACCTTCTCTTCTCTAGCAGTCGGCAGGCAAAGTCTGTAATCTGCGAAGTGCGAAGGAAGAGCCAAAGATCTTAAATTTTTCTTTCTAGGAATGTTTATTATTGGACAAATGCCATTAGCTCTCTCTACAGGCACACATGGGATTAACAACTAATTTTGATATTGTATGCCATATTAGTTGAATAATGGCCCAAAAGCTAGAAGTCAAAATATATCTTAGAGGCCTTACTCTGGTCCAATGCATTACCATTATGGGTTTGGTTTGGGTTAGTGTTGGGTGTGGTTCAGAAGAGGGTGGGCCATTTTAGTCATTTTATTCTTTGGTTCTTCTATAGCTTTGCTTAGCATTAGCAATTTAACATAGATAATCTTGTTAGTTAGTTAATGACATCAACTTTTTACATATTACAACCATTGTCGATCAGTATTATACTGAAGGGGGAACCAAATGGATGGTTAAATTTACATCTCTGGAAACCTTCACCTTGTGAAGGAATTTCACTAGAGAATTTTCAATTTGCATGGAAGTAAACAAGGCCAATAAGGGAATTTCACTAAAGAATTTTCAATGTGATCTTTGTTGATTGGATGGTTACAGTCCTACTCATTATCCTCTTCATATTCAAAGGGAATTTCACTAATTTTCTATGGCAGTGTTTTTATACCATCTAATTGAACCTTATCTTAATCATCTGTTCTTCCCTCCTCATAAATAATAGATTCTAGACCAGAATATTGGGTTTCTCATATGAAGGAGACGTTTTTGAATGGCTCATGTATGGTTTTTACTTTTTCTTATATGGTAAGACTTTGAGCTATTTATGTTTGATGTGTATGAGCATAAACTCACCTTTTGATTTCATTAGGGTTTGATTGATTTGTTACTTCGCTGATGGTTATACACAGGAACTAAGCAAAGTTGGGGACTCTTTTACACCATCTGATGTTGAAAGAGCTCCTCTATAAGTGCTATATGTTTTTAATTTTCAGGTTCAACAATTATGCTATGTGGATTTGCATTGGAACAATTATGCTACCTTATTTGATAAATTGAATTTTTTAAAGTCTTTGTATTTTTATATGTTGATTGGATATTGTATTTGAAAATTTTGATTTGGATATTAATTAACCGTTAATTTAATATACTTTGTTTTAAATTGCATTTTTTATTTAAGTTGCTTAACTTTTCATGTATCAATTGTCATGAATTATTTATTAAGTAGGTATTAAAGTGATGAATCAATAAAAAAGTGGAGGTGCCAACAAATATAGGAATTAACCTGGCATAAAAATAATATATATATATCTAAGTCGGTGGTCATGTAACCGTCGGATTAGCCATAAACAAGACCTAAGGCAGCAGTCATCTAGATCTAAACCAGCAGTTTAGACCAGCGCCTGAGTTGGACTAAACCTAAGGTGGCAGGGAACAAAGGCGACGGTTCAAACTGCTACCTAAAGAACCAAACATTTTTTTTGACAAAACCTAAGCAAGCAGTAGAAAACGCCGCCTTTAATAACACTAAGCCAGAAGTTTTGACAGACTGTTGCGTTAAAAAAGTTTGGACCGCCTCGGACCAACCACCAAAGGTGGCGGTCTCTTTTATCTAAGGCGGCGGTCTTGATCTAGGCCGGCAGCTACTTAGACGGTGAACCTGAAGGGATGAGAGATCCATCGTATGGATGCCCAAATCTTGTGGAATAAGGTGGGCGAATTTCAAAAAATTTCTCTCACTTTCAACTGGGAATCGTATTCCCTATTTAGAAAATCATATTTTCAAGGATCAATCTTGAACAAAAAACTGAACCAGATCTGAACAAAAGCAGTAGGAGAGGATTATACTTGATACGGAGAAGTAATATCTCCGAATGGAGGTGTTCACGCCCAAGGAAGGATCCAAAGACTGTTCCTACTGAAGATGACGCAGTGCAGGATGGAGCAAAATCAGTAGTGTTCTTCTCTAAGAACCTAGTCCTTCGTAAGAAATAGTAGGATGGCACGTGAGCACAGCTTCCTATCAGTCATTTCACAAAGAACTGATATCAAGATCAAATCTTGACTTTTCCCACTGAACTGGCAAGGTAGGCGACAAGAAAGAATTCTGCAGGGTTGCTTAATTCTTTTTTCTGTGATTTCAGCTCTAAAGAGGATGTGAATGTGTGTCATCTAAAGGCTGCCGCCCCATCCTTCTTTTGTAACCCTAAAGATCAGCTCCTAATCCAATTAGGAGTTGCTGATCCAAATCATATTTGGATTAGTCATCCCTTTAGGTGATAAGGATAAACCCTTATCTTATCTGCAGATTAGATCATCATTCTCCTAATCTCATTTGGAGGTTTCCAGATCTAAATCACATTCAGATTTGGACTCTCTGAGTGGACAGGGTTAAGACCCTATCCCATCTGCTAATCCATCTCAGAATTCGCCTCATATTTAACTCATTAAATTAGCTCAGTTCGAAATGGGCTTGAGGCCCATTAAGGTTATGTGCTCACTTAGCCTTCCTAACTCTTGCCCAGTTGGGCTTCCTTGTATGGCGTGGGACCCAAGCATTGATCTACACATCAGCCACATGGGTTCAGCCTACCCTTTGTTACAAGGACTGGCCGAATACACTGTTATGGACAGTGCACCCCCTGAAACCCATCATATGGGCTCTATGGGCCCAACACTTACCTTAAGTGGTCCCTGGGCCAAGACACCTTGTAACACCCAGGGACTGTGGGCAGATGCAAGATTAGCCAATCAGGTATTATCCTCAATGGTCTTACACTCAACCTCTCAGCCCATGATGATCAAACATTGCCCGACAAGAGAGGACCTCTCCCTCGGCTGCAAGGAACAGTGTTGTACTCTCTACTTATATGGATCCCGGGAATTAAAACATTTTGCAAACATTTTAGAAACCATAATATATAT